AGTTCAGCTGAACACAGTGAGATCAGCTGTCGAAAAGGCATGTTAGCTTTTTAGCAATGGTTACTTGGACTCGTTGATTCGTTGATCTAGCAGAAAACAACGTTTTTTGGTATGATTGTAGGGGAGGAGGCTTGTTGGGAACATTATGCATTGCAAATTTTGCAGGTACTCAGCAGTTTCTAGTGACTCTAGCGCTCGCATGTTCATATGCTTTTGTGCAGCTTTCCAGTTTTGTCTGGTATGCGCGGCTTTAATGTTTTCCATGGTTTCAACAACTTGCATGGTATCTAAATTTTCCATGGTTTGGAAGAAGTTGTCCCTTCCTGGGCATGTCATGTCGGAATTGTAGGTCGCAACAGCTTCTGCATTCACATTTTCTCCATGTGGGTAACACGACCATCATTTATTGTCTCAGCCATAGACAGGTGCTCAAGCAGCGCCAGACCAATCAAGGTTGTTCTGTTCTGTATGCCCAAATCCGGGAAAAGAGGGCTTATGCGAGCTCGCGCACCTTTGAAAATGTCAGGCTTAGCAAGTGCAGCACGACCGAATCCCAGCAATGCCAGCAGGCTCAAATGGGTCCCATTGGTGAGCAGTTTTCAGGTCAGGAAAATGGCAGCCCGACATCCAAAAGCTAGCAACTTCAGGCCAAACTCAGTCACCACCGTTACCATCCCAAGCAGCTGGAGTAGGTTAAGTCCCCACCGTAATTTGAAGAGATCATGCCCTGCAGGGGCCCTCTCCGCAGTTCTCGGTGCCAACAGCTGCAACAGTTTACATGTACATCATGCCAAGATTTTTAGGCGTTCTTGTTGGGCAGTCTGAGTTGAATGGAGCAACGCAACAGATAAGAGTTGGGGGCACAAGCAAGCTGACGCCCACTATATCAAACATGGTTCTGCAAGAAGCCCAACCTGCTTTGTGACAAGGGTTTCAGTGGCTTGGGAAAGTCTGGTACTCGGAGGTCTTTTAAGCGTAGGAAGATGCAGGCCAATCAGAAGGTATCCCGTGCGGGAACACCGACAGCAGTTTAGGAGGATGGCTCCGCAACACGTGCGCTACTGGGACATGTCCTGGACTCTGATGTGAGCCAGAATTTGAGCTCCTCCAAGGTGTACATGAAAATTCCTCAGACTCTAGGAATATTGGGATGAGCTAATGGTGCGACCAAGGCGAGCCAGAATTGAGACTGAGCTGTGTAATATGGCGCGAGCCAGAATTTGAATGAAAACATGTCCTATGAACCGGCGAGCCATGTTTTCAAGAACTCCTGAAAGCTTTACTGGAATACCTTTGTGTTCCAGGAAGACACCCTCACTATCCGCATGTTGAGAGCTGAAGCTAGTCTGTGTTCCAGAATGACACCAAGCTGTGTTCAAATGCGAGGCAATTGTGTGTTCCAAAACGATGCCCTACTTGTGACTGTAGCGGTCATGAGCGCGAGTCTCAAAGCATTCAGCCGCGCAGTAGCGCACAAATTCCTCAAGGTATGCTTGGGCATGTTCAATCATCTTTGCTCTACTTTAATAATTAGACAGCCAGGCGATCGGCAACTGGAAAACCGTTTCTGTGATGGACATGAGTCACATGTTCCGCGCAGCCAGCGCCTTCAACAGAGATATTGGCGGTTGCTGGGTGCCAATGACAACGGATTTTTGTTGACGATATATCTTCGGTTGCTTAATCCTGGAGCCTTCCGCCAGGTGAGAGGATGTGAGAGGCAGAGAGAGAGAGAGAGAGCTGAGGCACAATGATGTAGGCCAGCATCTGAATCTACCACAGCCAGCAGAGCTGAGGGGACGGATGGCGAGTTCCGCCTGCAGTCATGATGTAGTTCCTCTTACGTCTTTGGAGGTATCCCAACAGACTTTTGTCATACCCTATCCAAGAGTAATACCAGCATTTAGGCGGAAGGACATGCAGCGGCCAGTCTCACAGCTTCATTGAGACGGATGCCTTACCAGACTAGGGTTCTCGGGAACCTGATGCACGTAGTCTAACTTGGGGTATGAAGTCTGGGAAGGGGTCGATCCTCGTGAAGTGAGACCCAGTGGCGAATGCGGAGACTTGATGGGTGTGGGGCTGGGCCCTAGGGGAGTCGTAGGACTCCTCATCACCCGTAAAGAAAAGAAAGAAAGAGAGAGAGCTGAGGGGAGAGAGAGGGAGAGGAGCTGATCATCGTCCCAAAAGCTGTCAAGGTTGGGACACAGCGCGGGTCGTGACCATGAATGAGATGTTCTACGAGGCCCGCAGCTTCAAGCAGGACATCAGCACTTGGGACACCTCATCCGTGGTGAACATGGCGTTCATGTTTTACGGTGCCAGCTCTTTCAACAAGCCGCTCGGTGCCTGGAACACCTCTGCCGTGACTACGATGCAAGCCATGTTCTATGAGGCCAGCGCCTTCAATCAGGCCATGGAAGCTGTCAAACCCTGGGCCTGCAGGGTTGCACGGTATACACTGCATGATATGGAAGCCAGATTAGAAGTAAGCACAAGAATCCTCAACAACACGTTTCTGGTTGGAAAATAGAAGGTTGACAACGCTGGCCCTTTTCTGTGCAGCATATATGGAGGGCGGAACGAAGGCCGAAGGAAGGCGGAAGGAGGAAGGGAAGGAAGGAAGGTCGGAGAAAGCTGGAAGGAAGGAAGGGAGGAAGGACGGACGAGCCGTAGTCCTCTGGTCCTGGTCACCTGCACTGGTCCTGGCCCCCTGGTCTGTAGCCTGAAGACTAGCTGTAAACCATGAACCGCCCAAAATAATAGAAACTTTTTGGCAAACCTTGAGCCCGAAACGGAGAGGCTGGCCGGCCAGCCCTAACCCCCGGGGAGATGTTGGCCGGCAAGCCCCAACAGGGACGAGGACATGTTTGCCGGCAAGCCATGAACCTCAACAAAAACATGTTGGTTAGCAAGTCCTACACCCTATCTAGCCTGTCATTAAAGCCGTGCAAGCTTGCAGGAATGGATGCAAGACCCCTATGAATCCTTTAAAGAGCTGGTCTCCGAGCCTTGTGTTTGCAAATGGGACCCCCTGCCTGATTTTTTGGCCGTGCAAACCTGCAAGACTTGCTGGAAGACCCGCATGACTCCTACGAGTATTGTGTTTGCAAATGTGAGGGGGCCCTCCCAACCCCATCGCCTTTTTTGCAGCGGTGCAACCCTGCAGGAATTGTTGCAAGACCCATATATGAATCTTCAAGACCTGATCTGTGGGCCTTGTGTTTGCATATGAGGGACGCTGCGCAACCGCAATTATTGTTATTAGAGCTGTATTGTTATTACTAGTATTGTCGGGCATTATCAGTGCTTTTTTAACGTGTATTTGTTGTTAGTATTGCAGTTGCCACTTTAAAGTTTATCATCCTCTCAGTATTTGATTCGTACGACTGTTTTCATGAATACAGTTAATACGCTTATTATTGCACTTATTGTCGTTACTATTGTTGGTATTATCATTGTTCTCATCACACGTATCATTATCATTATTCTTATTGTTATTCCTATCGCTGCTAAGCTGGGGAAATCGAGCTCTCGCGTGCCTATCATTGTTATTACGATCTTTGTTCTTATTATGGTCAGTAGTATTTCTATGATTGTTATAGCTCGTGTGTCTTCTCACCGAATAGTTCCCAGTACTGTCAAGCTAGACAAATCGAACTCTCGAAAAGAGTGTCCTCACATTTTGCATCGAAATTGTGCTCTCTCGCATGGAGTATCCTCCCAAAAGGAAAACAAGGAAGAAGAAAACACACATAATAAACAAGAAAAGCAAGTGGAAACACGTGGAAGATCATGGAAAACAAGACAGGTGTTTGGGGCATGCGCTGGATGCCTGAAAAGTTTGACATACACTGCTGCCAGGCGCTCGACACTTGGAACACAGCATCCGTGATGGATATGAGCTACATGTTTCGCGGGGCGAGAGCCTTCAATGGTCCCATTGCCCGGTGGAAAACCTCAAAAGTCCGGACAATGAGAAGCTTGTTCTACGATGCCAGCAGCTTCAATCAGCCTCTTGGCAGCTGGAATACAGGGCAAGTGGCCGACATGCGATACCTGTTTCGAGGGGCCAAGAGCTTCAATCAGAATATAGGCAGTTGGAACACAGCGTCTGTTAGAAGCATGGACTACATGTTCTGTATGACCAGTGCCTTCAACCAACCGATTGGCAGCTGGAACACATCAGCAGTGAGAGCCATGACAGCCATGTTTGAGGAGGCGGCCAGCTTCAACCAGGACCTAAGGAACTGGGACACATCTTTAGTGGCTGACATGTCTTCCATGTTCTTCAAGGCAGAGGCCTTCAACAGCCCTCTTGAAGTGTGGAACACCGGCCGCGTCAGAAGCATGCGAAGAATGTTTGCTGGTGCAGAAAGCTTCAACCAAGCTATTGGCCGCTGGAACACATCAAGCGTCTTGAACATGTGGTCTATGTTCTATGAAGCCCGCAGCTTCAACCAGGCGATCGGCAGCTGGGATGTGTCATCCGTGACTGACATGGCAGGAATGTTCTCGGGAGCCAGCGACTTCAATCATTCCGTTCACAAATGGAACACACGCTCCGTGTCCAGCATGAAGGCCATGTTTCAGAATGCTCGCAAGTTCAACGAGCCAATTGGCGACTGGGACACGTCGGCCGTGAAGACCACGAGAGGCATGTTCTACAAGGCCCGCAGCTTCAATCAGGCGATCGGCAAGTGGGACACCTCTTTGGTGCAGGACATGGGGTACATGTTCAATGGAGCTGTTAGCTTCAATCAGCCGATTGGTGGCTGGAACACAGCCTCAGTAGCAGATATGAGCTTCATGTTCCGCGGAGCCCGTTCTTTCAACGCAGCTATTGGCAAGTGGAACATGTCAGCAGTTGAGAGTATGGAGTCTATGTTTGACCAGGCCGTCTCCTTTAACCAAGACCTTGGCGACTGGGACACCTCCAGTGTGAGGGACATGAGCTATACTTTCTATGCAGCGAGGTCTTTCAATGGACAAGTTGACCGATGGAAGACGTCAAGAGTCAGGACAATGAGGAGCATGTTCTATGAAGCCGAGAGGTTCAACCAGCATATTGGCAGTTGGAACATTTCTGAAGTCGAGGATATGAGCTACATGTTCTATCATGCCAGCAGCTTCGACCAAGATATCTCTGGTTGGGACACGTCTTCCGTCGTAGAGATGGTCGGCACTTTTGACGGGGCACTGAGCTTCAATCAAGACATCGGCAACTGGGACACATCTGCTGTCAGAAGCATGAAGGTCATGTTCTCCAAGGCGGCTCGTTTTGACAAGCCCATCGGCGGCTGGAACACCTCATCTGTGACGGATATGCGAGGCATGTTCCAGCTCGCCGGGACATTCAACCAGCCCATTGGTGGTTGGGACACGTCCAGCGTCAAGAGTATGCAAAGCATGTTTTACAGGTCGCAGACCTTCAACCAAGACATTGGCAGGTGGGACACAAGACGTGTGATGAATATGGGTGGGATGTTTCGTGAAGCCTGGACTTTTGACCAAGATATAGGCAGGTGGCGCACAGGACAAGTGACTGACATGAACCAGATGTTCTTGGGTGCTCGTAGCTTTAACCAAGACATCGGTAACTGGGATACGTCGCATGTCACAAACATGAATATGATGTTCCTCGACGCTGTTTCATTTAACAAGTCGATTGGCGCCTGGAACACATCGGCGGTCACTTCTATGTTTGGCATGTTCATGAATGCGTCGGCTTTCAATGGACAGATTGATGGTTGGGACACATCGCGTGTAACTGACATGATGGGCCTGTTCGCCCAAGCCAGTATATTCAACCAGCATATCGGGCGTTGGAACACGTCGGCCGTAACGAACATGCATGCAATGTTCATGGATGCAACCAGCTTCGACAGGGATATTGGTGCCTGGGACACGTCCTCCGTGAGAGACATGGGAGGGATGTTCTTAGGGGCCACCGTGTTCAACCAACCTCTTGCCCGGTGGAATACCTCCCGTGTCGCGGACATGACAAGCATGTTTGCAGCAGCCACCGCGTTTAATCAGCCCATAGGCAGCTGGGACACATCTGCTGTGAAGAATATGTCATCCATTTTCACAAAGGCGCAGAACTTCAATCAAGATATTGGAACTTGGGATGTCTCCTCTGTCACAGACATGACCTACACGTTCACATTCGCCCACTCTTTTGATCAGCCCTTGGATCAATGGAACACGTCAGCGGTCACCAACATGTCGTTCATGTTCAAACACGCCCGATCTTTCAATCAGCCGTTGGGTCGATGGAACACATCAGCGGTCAGGACCCGTAGCCCCCCTTCAAGGGCAACAACCCCAGACCCTGAAACACACGAACCACTCATTAGCTTACCTTTTCGGGAGTTGATTGGTGTTTGGAGCTCACATGCTTGTTTACAGACCTTTGACAATTGCCGGCTTGTTGCCTTGCCTGTCAAACCAACTGCACCAGTGATGCCTCGAAACGGTAAGCCCCGAGGAACATGGCGTCGATGTTTTTTGAGAGCAGAGTGTTCAACCAGGATATCGGCACCTGGGACACTTCCTTAGTGACATCAATGGATGGCATGTTCTTTGAGGCTTTCTCTTTCAACCAGGACATCAGCAAGTGGAACACTTCAGCTGTGAAGGACATGCAGTACATGTTTTCCAGCGCTCTCGATTTTAACCAGCCCATCGGTTCTTGGAACACCTCGGCCGTCACCAACATGAGCCACACCTTCTACATGGCGCACGCGTTCAACTCAGACATTGGATCGTGGAACACCGCGGCAGTGAAGCGGATGGATGGCATGTTTTACGAGGCGACAACCTTTGATCAGGACGTTGGCGGCTGGGACACGTCTGCCGTCTCCAATATGAGCTACATGTTCTTTGGTGCGAAGAGCTTCAACCGCGACATCGGGACCTGGGACACTTCGGCGGTGACAAGTTTTGATCACATGTTCGTCGGTGCAACTGCTTTCGACAGATCCATCAGCATGTGGGATTTTGGCTCTTTGGAGCACGACTTGGAATACAGCACCTTCATGGCAACCTCGGGCTTTTCTCTCTGCAACTTATTTGCTTGGCAGCGCGTGTTTCCGTCGAAAACAGAGGCGATGACGGCGCTTGCGTCGTGCCCGGAATGCAAGGAGACGCATGTAGGAACTGGGGGTCGGAAGCCATTTCCTAGGTACCCTTTGCATGATCAATCTCCTGGCGTGAGGAGACCCGCTGTCCGAGCACATCTTTGGCTTGTTTGGAGGATAGGTGTGCAGCCGTAAACTCGGGCTTCATCGAAGTCGGGACGTGTGAGATGGAGGAGTGCCGGTCTGCGGAGGATCTCACCGTCGTTCCCAGCAGCTTCGGGCAATGTACATCAGCTTGCATACGCAACCCCAACTGCACGGGTTTCCTGTTTTCCCCACAACTTTGGATAGGCAAGTATTCCGATGAAGTCGACTTTCGTCAGGGTCAACGCTGCGACCTCCGCATCAGTCAGAGGCCCCTGCCAGTGCGTGGAAGTGAGACTCAGAGTACATCGGCCTTCTTCGTCTTCCGGCGGGCGGGCTGTGACACCTTCTCCTGCCCCAGTTGGGGCCGTCCTCTGCCTGCGCCGAAACTTCTGCCAGACGCTGGGGCCGTCACTGAAGCACAGTGCTGCACCTGCTCGGCGCCCGGAGCAGTGCAGGACCGCAAGGAAAATTGCGATCCCTGCTTATCCGCGCATGCTGAGCAAAAAAGTGGATCAGCACAAAGCAATGGGCTGATTGAACAGAGAAGCCTACTGAAGCCCCAGTACCCAAAACCTTGGGAGAGTTGTAACAAGTAGCAGGAGCAGGGCGCAGCGCCGAAGCTCGCTTGCGGGCTTTGTGCCGCAGGCACAGCACCGGCAGCGGATCAAAGGTCCTGCGAGGCCTGCCCTGCGGGCCGCTATGCGGAGGACATTGGGCTTTAAACCCGTGGGGAGTCTGTAACATCTGGGGTTTTGAGGTTTAGCGTTTGGCGGTTGCAGAGCTGTAGAGATTGAAGAACTTTGCACGGTTTAGTCTCAAGGCTGTCTGATGAATGTTGAACTTTCGCGGAGGAAGGGGCCAGCGAGTGCAAGCTCTGCAAGGGGAACCGGCTGCTGCCGAATGCAAACCAGAGCGCCTGCGAGGCCTGCGCCGTGGGAAAGTTCATCCCAGAGGGTTTCATCACCTGCGAAAGCTGCCACCTCCCCAGAATGCTTCTCAGAGGGCCCACTGAGCAAAAGGTTCAATGGTTTCTTGATATTCTGTGGCACACAAAAACGCAAATTTCCGCTGCAATGTTCAAGTTGGGCTTGGAGGGCCAAGAGTTGGGCAGCTCAGGCTTCTCAACAATCAGTGCATTTGGTGGCACATTCCCATCATGGTGGTGGCGTTGCTCTTGATCTTGTTCACCATCCGCGCAATCCGACAGACCGTGAAGAAGCGGACCTTGAGCAAGCGGGAGAGGCACTGGACCGTAAAAGCCTTGGATCCTAAAGTGCTTTAAACTTAAACCCTTAGCCCTACACCCACTCTAAACGGTCCTAAACCCGAGGGTGAGGTGCGTGTTGAAGCCGAAGTTGCTTAGCCTTGAAGAGGCACCAGGCAGAGCTGGGTGCCACCTGGAAGCTTTTGGAGGCTTCGCTGTGGGACCGCGACGACGCGGCCGTCGCCAAGCTCGCCCAGACCCTGACGTCCCAAGGCTTAGGCGGGCATTTTTCAAAACTAGAACCCATTTCTGCACCCCAAGAAAGACATCTCTACAGTGACCCAAGAAGCTCCCAGGGTCTGCCTATGTGGACTCAGAGATCCAAAAGCTCCGCGCGCACCACAGCTCCGTGGCCGGTGTGGGCATGGAGTACCTGCTGTCCGAGGACTTCGCATCTTGGACCTTGCACCCCGATTGTGACTTGAACTGAAAGCCTGACACCCTGTCTGAGGACTTTGCGTGCTTGGCCAAGGGGCGATCCAAAAAGGAGGATCCCAGCTTCAACGACCTCAAGGAGGCCGCCAGGGGAAGCGCTCCCCTGGATTCATTTTGCCTTGGGCCCTTGAAGCCTAAAACCTACATATTGAAATGCACCCAAGACCTCCAAGCCATCAAACCCCAAAACCCCTTAGCGTGAGCCCCGAGCCTGGGCAGCCACACCGCCCCGATACACCTCCAAACTCCAGATCCGTACGCCTCACAGCACCTCCTGCGAGGCCTTCTGGCTTCAAGAGGGCCACGATCCCGTAGGCCACGATGTGCCTTGCCCCAGGGACGGTCGACCTGGCTGTGCATTGGTGGACTGGCTACCCACTCGGCACCGGCGCATGCAGACGCATTTCATGTCCTGGACCTGGAGGTGCCACCGGACGAAAAAACCAATCGCAAACTCCACATTTAACTGAACTGAGACTCCCTAAGGAACCTCCCTTACAATAGTTCATGTGCTGGACCTGAAGGTACAAAGTGTCCCAGATACGCAGCTCGCTCGAGATGTGGCGGGCGGATGCCAAGTCCACCTTTGAACCCGAGGATGTGTCCTTCTTCATGTGCTTTTTCGTGAACAACCAGTTCCGAATAATCTTGGAGGCAGGGACTTGCGCTTCAGGAACTTGGTGGTGTGTAGTTTAGGCATCTCTGCTACATGAGCCGCTCAAGCATAGAATCGGAAGCTTATGTCAATCTTGAGCCCTTCCAGCTCGAGCCTTTACAAAGACCCAAACACCTCGGAAACTTCGGCACAAAGTTTATATGATACCTGAATGAAAGCTTGCAAGCTCCCAGAAATAGATCTCATAAACGAAGGCTCAATAAGCCCCAGTGGGGGAACCTATGAAACCTACCAAGCCCGACATGAAACCTGTACAAGCCCTAGGAAACTCTATTTGGTGGTTTCCCAAAATAGGGTCCCAATATAAAACCCAAAATGCTACAGTCCTTACGACGGGTGCCCCCCAAAAAGTATCCCCGAATAAAAGTTTGGGAAACGCCAGAAGCCCAAAACCTTATGTAACCCCTATTGTAACTTTATTATCCTCCTAAAGACACCCCTACTTTTGGGAATTCCTAAACCTGAAACCCTAAATAGTAGCTTCCATTTCTCCTCCATTATTCTCCATATATCCCCTGTATACCCTAGATTACACCTATAGAACCCTATTACCCTCCTTTAATGATACCTAAACCCTGAACCCTATTATCCCCCTTTGAGGTTACCCCTAATTTTGGAAAACCCAAACTTCTCTTTTCCCTGAGGGCGCCGTCGGTGGCAGCGAAGATCTGGAGCGGGTCTTCAAGGACACTTTGACTCACTGATGCCTGGTTTTGTGTTTTGGGTTTTAGGTCATTTTAGGTTTCAGAAGGGTTTAGGGTTTACAAGGGTTATAGGGCTTTTAGGGGTTTTAGGGTTTACAGTTTAGGGAATGAAAGCTTGGATTATGGTGTATTAAATCATCCCTCATTCCTTAGCCCAGCTCAAGATGCAAAACAAAGTGCGTCCCCGATAGTGGTATGTAGAAAACGGTGCCACCATAAGTCGTTTCCCCTAATAAAACCCCTGAAGCCTTAAACCCTTGACCCTGAAGGATTCTCCCAAGGGATTTCTGCCTTGGAGCTTGTAAGCTTCCAGGAGAATTTGACCCGCATCGGGAAGGTGGTGGCCGTGCTGGACACTTGGAAGGAGCGGCTGAGGGACTCAACAAATTTGACATTTTAGGTTTTGCCCTGAGAAGGGGTAGTTTCTTGAACTGAGATATATGGATTCACAGGATTATGGGGGGAGCAAAGCGGGATTGCAGGAATGATGTAGATGAAGTAGGTGCAGCGGTTTTTGGTCTCGTAGTGAGGATATATCGCATCTCTTGGTTTCGTGGTGAGGGTGTTTCCTTTTTTTCCTATATCTCTGCGTCTCTCCCTCTCTTGCCTCTCTATCTCTCTCTCCCTCTCTCTCTTCTCTCTCCCGCTCTTTCTTCTATCTCTCTCTCTCTCTTCTATCTCTCTCTCTTCTCTCTCTTTCCCTCTCTCTCTCTCTCTTCTCTCTCTTTCCCTCTCTCTCTCTCTCTTCTCTCTCTCTTTCTCTCCTCTCCTCCTCTCTCGATCTATCTGTCTGTTTCGCTCTTCTCTCTGAATGTGTTGTAAGCTTTTGGGCTTGGTGTGGCCCTGAACTACCGCAGAACCATGGTTTTTCAACTAGCTGTTCCCATCTTTTCCCTAAGCAGGACAGGCTTCTAACAGAGCTTGGAAGAAAACAGTAACAGTTGTCGTTTGGGAAGAGCTGCTGCTGCTAGGCTGTTTAGGTTGTCAGGCTTTAGAGATAAGGGAGCGGTGTCAACCCTTTGCCTGTCTTGTCCAAGCTATTCGTTGCATGTCAGCTTTAGCGGGACTGCCAGCTTTTCTGGCAATGTACTACTACCGCTTTTGGCTGAAGTTCTCCCAAATCCCATTCAACAAATGATGATGATGATGATGATGAAGATAATGATGAAGGCCTGATAAGCAGCCTCGCTGTCGCGGGCATTCCATAGTTCCAGGGTCCTCGCACATGCACACGGTTCGCCAAAAAGAGACGCCACAAAATTCGTAATGACCCAGACAAGCCCTGTGGACAAACCATGAGATCCCATACATAGCCGACAAAAACAGGACCCAGTGTACCTAACACGCGTGTGGACGATCTACGAGCAGTTCACCGCCTGCTCGCTTCGAGTCCCAGTGACTTTTGTTATGCCCGAGAGTTTCTCGGAGTCATGAAAACTGGGCTTTAGTGAAGTTTAGTGCGATAATAGAGGTGGACTTAATTCCGGTCCTACTGTGCCTTTATGGACTTAGATGCTGGTGTGTGGTGTTCGCTTCTTGTCGTTTTAGGTTGCTGGATTTTTCGAGAAGTGTGAAAGCTAGGCGGGTTTCTTTTCTGGGGCTGCTACTGAAGGGGCTGGCCTCAAGTTTGGGGTGTGGAGGATTTGCATGTAGACCCCTAATAGACTTTGCCTAGAGCGGAAAAGTCCCCAAAACCTTCGGAAGACAGCGACACCTCACGCCCCAAACTTCAACAACATTCGAAACTGTGGACCTGAGATGCACTCTGTAGGCTCCTCTGAGTCTTTGAATGCCCAGATCTTCCGCGGGGCCGATGGTATCGAGGAAGTCAAGGAGTCCTTATGCCAGGTGGTGATCCATCAAGAAGATATCGAGAAAACTCCTGGGGACTTGAACTTAATGCCTTAGGGGGTTGCAGGGACTTCGGTCGCATACTTTTGTTGAGGCTTTCTGATTCCCAAACCCCGATTCTATGGACACCCCCTTCTTTCTCAATAAGCCCCTTAGGTGGATGTGGCTCACGCGGAAGCTTGGGATCCGCGAGACAAGGACTTCAAAGATCAGAATATGAGACCCAAGCACATCAGATCCTACTCGTGATCAAGTCCATGATGGGGGATTCCAGGAAACCTCATTCTGGGGCATCTGCTTTTTACGTGCTTGTAGTGGTGCCTAGAGTAGAGAGAGGGTGGCGGGTTATTCGGATCTTCTGCTGCGACCTTGATATGATAGTGATATGCTCTGTTTTTCTCAGCATGATCGAGGGGTCCCTTCACTTAGGCGTCCTTTCACGAGGACTTTCCAAGTAGCTGTACGTATGGTTTGGACTCACTGAAGGCTTGTCGAGATCTTTTGTACTTCACTTCGAAGGAGCGCAAAAGGCAATCGAAACAAACACTCATTCGCCCAATGTTCTTTCAGATGCAAAACTATTCGGAGCAAACATCATGTGATTTACAGACGGGAAGAACTGCTATCAGTATTCAACATGAAGAATAGTTCTGTCCTAGATCCTAGGCGGTGGAACGACTCGGTTTCATGTGAAGGTCGGTTGATTTTGGAACAATGAGTCGCATGGAACGTGTTTCACGTAAGCGTTTCATCTACACCTTCCTGGAAGGACGATTCAGCCAAACGAAGGCGCGAGTATTCCCATGAGGCGTTAAGATTCAAGCGGATTTTTGTGCAGGCTAACAAGCAGATATTAGACAAACTCCTCAGCACCAAGGCCTAGCCTGGTTTGCCACAGGCTTTTGCAGCGTCTGGAGTTGAAGTATGCTAGTTTCCACAGCCGCAATACTAGGACAAAACTACTTGAGAGGTCTTCTAGTGCTTGGTAAGCGTCTCCCAATGAACAGGCCTGTCGTGACAGAGGTCGAAAGTTGAAAGAATATGAGACCACTTACCATGTTTCAATCTGCAGAGTGGCCCTGCCGAATGGCTCTTCAGCACTGGCTATGGCCAACTAGGTCGGATGTGATGCCCAAAATGCAAGTATTCTGCAGGCAGCAGGGCGCGAACGCAATCCTAGGCCTTCTTTCAGCTGTTGCAGGAGCAAGTCATGGCCGCCATCCAGTCTACAGTAGGTTTCGATGAGGTCAACAAGCACGTCCCCTTTGCTGCGTTTTGGGATTAAGGGTCCAGTGTTTGTGGCTATGCTTTGGAATAAGTTTCTTTTGGCTTTGCCATGTTCTCACTCAAAAAAAAGAATAAGTTCAGGCATGTAGCTGTTAAGGAAGGGTCTAGAGGGATAGGTGTATGCCCTCAGCTTTTACTGCTAGGGGGTTGAATGCAGAGGACTTCGGATTGTGGGATTTGGTGGGTGAATATTTGCAGGGCTTCAGTTTGCTTTACAAGTTTAAAGCTTGACTGAGTCGGATGTTCCGGCTCATTCTCGGTAGGGAAGGCTGGCGGGGAACGTTTCGGGCTTGTTCTTCCAGATTAGCGGCCACGTATGCGTTGCCCCTTCCGTGCTGAGTGCCAGTGTTTTGGCATACGTCTGTTAGAACAGTACATCACATTCTCCTGCCTTTTTGAGTCTCAGTCTCTTTCGCGAGAACACAGGCGAGCATGTTGAGGCCCAATATCCTGTCTAGATAGGTGGTCTTGAGGAAAACATCTCCCGGCAGACTTGCAGATAAAGTTAGATGCTCTGGGAGAAGACAGACCGAGGGCCCATGACTCTCTGGATGGACTAAGCCATGGGGCTTTAATGTTTTGAGGTTTATGGTTTTGGAGAGCTAAGCGGCAGCAAGATCAGGTCAGGAACGCAATGGTGAGTTGGATTGGGTCAATGGTGCAGAACAAGTTCCAGGAGCTTGTGAACAACGTGTAATTCGATGCCCCTCTCTCACTTGGCCATGCGCGGCACAGGCCATGGTTCTGGGAAGGCTAAGCATAGCCGAAATTAACTCAGCTGCGAGGAATGCCGAAATTTGCAGCTGCAATACCTGCGTTTTGATTGCCAGCCACGCGAATGTGGCTGGCGCACGGCCTCCTCGGCATCAGAATTTTTAAGATGGTGCCGTGGGAGCTGCCGATTTAACACATATGCCTAGGAGCACGCACAAGTTCGTACTCACAGAAGCTTGTTTTCTGCAGGTTGGCTGCCCCGGAGATTAGCATCCAAGCGCACGCACGTATATTGACATAAATCAAAATACAATCTCGAAGGCCCGAACCTGCAGGCAACATGAAGTTTCTATACCGGTGTTTCAAAAGTCTCTTCTGCAGCTCGAGGCATGGGCAGCAAGGTGTGGCCGCAGATCGGTCGAATCCCAACACGCAAACATGCATTCAAGTGCCAAGGCATTTTCATGAAAGACATGGGCTCGAACAGCACAGGGCTTCACGCTGCATGAGTATGAAGAAGTTCGTCTACGAGACAACAAAAGCCAGAACTGCGAGTTGCCAACATCTTCAATAGGTACACTTCACATGCTTGAGGCACGCTTCTCCAAGCTTCAAGTCAAAACGTCACTTGCAGCTCAGCCAGATAGTGATCTCGCCAGTCCATGCTCAAACCTTCCATTGCGCACCAATGGCAGCAGCTGCGATGCGGCTTTGTTGCTGGAAAGTCCAGATGGCCGGTGCTGCAGAAGCAGAGAAGCATTTGCAGGCTTTGTGCGAGAGGTTTGTTACACTGTTTGCACATCTTGGGCCCATTGAGTGTTCTGCCACTTGAACATTCCACAGGCACCACACAGACGTCACAGCAATATTCGCCGCCGTCTGTACCAAGAAATTCATCCGTGAGGCTGGGTGCCCAGATTTTGGCCTGGCATGCATGCTCTTCAGTAGGTGCAAAATGGGGGTTTCCCAAAACATTTTTTTTTTTTTTGAGTCTCCATAAATAGGATTATAGCATTCTGGGGTCTGTATGCTGGGGTCCACTTATTTTGGGGAAACTACCATTAAAACCCTATAAACCCCTATGTAATCCGAGCTTCCATTTCATTGTCCATTTGATTCTCCAATATTCTCCATTATTGGGGGTATTTTCGCTACATATTTTGGGAAGGCCTTGCAAGACTCCCCAATATAACATCGTGGTTTTCATTTTCTTTTCCAATATCCCCTATATTCGCAAGACTAAGGCCAGCCGCTCGCGTTCTCGAAGCATTCAATGCCAAAGCTCATTGCCGGAATCCACGGCCACAGAGAATTTTCGGGATGCAGCTGGGCATCAACACTTTCAGACGGTGAAGGGCTTCGGGAGTGTAAAGCTGCCGTGTCTCCATAATTTGCCAGCATATTCTACTGATTTGTCACCGAGCATTGTGTAGTCATGAGGTCGGCGAGCTACAAGTGTTCGCCTATCCCATGCAAGATGGAACACGCTGTGTTGCGTTGGTGAAAGGCAGTTGCGATCAGGGTCATGGTGGTATTTTTGACGCTGCCCCATGTCCCTGCTTCAGGCAGGGTCGCGCGGCTGCAAGAACCTGTCCCGCTGCGCATTCATTCGGAGTGTCTTCTTGGTGATGTTTTCGCGTCAACACGTTGCCAATGCGGGGCGCAATTGCAAGACTTCCTGCTGAACGTCCTTGGGAATGATGTGCACAAGACCGGCATCTTGCTCTATATACAGGCACAATGGTCGCCTTTGTACGCTGCAGAGTGTGTTTGAGCTGATAAGTGTTCTTGAACTGATGCGACTGCTGGCGTTGTACAGGGCCACGAGGGTAAAGGCATCGGTTTGGCCAACAAGCTGCGCAGCTACGTCTTGCAGGCTCGAGACCAGTCGCATGATGTCTGTTCATGTGTGGATTGTGTCGGCTGAGTGTGAGGATGGGCCTGAACAACTATCTGAAGAAACGGCGAATATTCGCCTGGGGTTTGCTCCAGACCTGCGCAACTACCGCGTTGCCATTGCTGCGCTTGAGCACCTGGATGTGAAAAGAGTGGTTGTGTACACCGACAACCTCCGCAAAATTGAAGGCTCGTTTCAATCAGCAGCACTTTCATGAAGTGCTGGTTCGCAAAGAAGACAGAGATGTCATCTTGCCGCCTGCCCTGTTTGCAGTATCGCCATGGTTTCTGATCATTCCCGCATTCTTGGGTTTGGCGTATCATGTCTTCTGGTGTCTCGTCAGCTAGGGAGTGGGGGCGACGTAGCCAGGCATGCTCTGGCACGGCTTCGGCCAGCTAATCCCTGTGTTCACTTGGAGATTCTGAGATGCAAAGTCAGTCCCGCTCGTATAAGAGTGCGAGTGCACGCTTGCAGGCATCCCTGCAGCAGTGGCTGCAGTCGCGCGATGGTCTTCAGCCAAGCAGAAGTGGCTTGATGAAGAAATCTGGAAAAGGTTGCCAGCTGATCACGCACGGTACGCTTCCCTGCTCCGAGCCAGACCTAAGCAAAGCTGCACCATACATGACGTAGTTTGTGCCCTACATGACCCATAAGCTGCGAAATGTCCCCAAACCGAAAAGCTTGTTGTAGTGTTCAACGGGCAACATGAGTCCAGGCCTCTTGGGGACTATGCAAGAGCAGCTTAGGTGCGAGTTGTTGAAATTGGATTGGTCTGCATACTTGGCCCACCCTGCTTGATTGCTCGTGTAGACTGCTCTGTCCTTAGCCCCTCCTGGCTATAGCAGTGTTCAATTGGGTGTAGGGAATGGTTGCAGATTTCGATAGGTTTGTGGAAGCCATGGAGGTTTGGGCATTTGATGGCCAGTCGAGGGTTTCGAGGTTTGGGCATTCCGCGGTACTATGACAGCTGTTCTTTAAAGAACGTTTTGGGTTCACCCCTGCCTGAAGGGAGGCAGACAAACGGGTCACACAGCAAAAGGAAAATTCGGGAATAGTCGCGTATATTGCACTATCATTGTCCGAGCTGAACCAATATGGATTTTCCTCACATTCACACCTATAGGCATACGCACGCCGTATGACTGAACTGACTGACTGACTGACTGACTGACTGACTGACTGACGGACGGACTGACTGACTGACTAGCTGACTGACTAACTGACTGACTGACTGACTGACTGACTGACTGACTGACTGACTGACTGACCCCTAAAGACTCCCTAAGTGTATCTTGGGGTCCTAAAGAGAGCTTATTCCAAACCTCTGAACCATGCAGAAAAGGTTTCAATAAATTACGCCAGCAAGCCCACAACTCACCATGCCCCGATTCCTTTCACCTTGACCGACAACTTCCACGTCCTCAACATTAATCAGTACGTAGTCCGGCATCCTAAAGCAATCTTAGCGAACCACGCCAAAGAAGCAATGAAAGTGACGCAGGGAAGGCACAAGCGATAACACACTGGAACTGGAACTTGCCAGCTATTTTCATCACGAGCTAGCTGGCGCTTTCCTTCTCGGCTCGAGGAAGGGCGAGTCTCAACAAAGTGTTTAAGCACTTGGTGCAACTGGCCAGTGTGCGATGCGATGATGCTCGTGAGGCGGATCCACAGAAGAACATGGCTTCCTGTGCTCTGCTTGGGTGCCTTCTGCCGGTGCTTGATCTGCTTTGCCAACAGCATGCAGATGCCCACCCACAAGCCTAGGGACCCTAGCGCGTGCGCAAGGGCATCGGATTTGCGCGGCACCCTGCCGCCATCAGCCATTCTGGATGCAGGAGCACCCCAGCTACCTGCCACGCAGATTATCATCACGCTGCTATGTGCCATTATTCCAGTAGCGTACTGGTGGTATGTCATTGTGCCTTACAAGCGACGCGAGCTGGCCTCCAGCAAACGTAAGGGCGATGTAAAAGAGTACTCAGGTGGCACTTTTGGATAATTTGTGATTTCCCCTATTGTGGTATAAGGAAACCTATTCCAAAATAAGTTTGGGGGCCCTTCAAAGTATCACCCAGGTACCTTGAAGATCTGGCTGCAACTCCCTCTGGTGATCGCCAAGCAGAGAAGTGGTTCTACGACAAGTATCTGCGTGAGGCGAAGCTTGTAGAGGGAACTGAAGCTGCTGGGCTTCCAAAGGTAGTTCAAGCAGTTGAAAGTGAACTGCAGCAACAGCTCCCCGGAGGGGGATTCTGGAGCTTTGATAATCCCATTTTTGTCTGTCTGGTTATGCTGGCAATTTTCTGCACGGTTCAAGTGGCAACCCACAGTTCGCAGCTTTAGGGGTGAGGCATGTTCGTGGCCGACCACCAATTTTCTTCTTTGAAGCTGCCATTTTCTACGTGAATTCATTACTTCTCGACCTGCTGCTCTGTCTGCCGATGAGCTACGTGCAAAAAGCGTGCTTGTTGCATTCTGAATGCTTCTTGTTGATACTGCTGGTAGTGGTTAGGTGTTACACGAGGTGTTTATGTGTTTTTGTCTGTCTGCATAGTGGACGCGAAATTGAGACAAGGGAAATGGAGACTTCGGAGCTCGGGCGCATCCGAAGAGCAGTCGAACCTTCTGGAGATGATATGAGCCATAATCTAAACTCCTTTAAGGGGGGTTATATAGGGGATTATATAAGGGACTATTATATGGGTTACTAAGGGGGATACTAGGAGTTTAGACTATAGCTCATATAACTGATGTAGCGACGAGGCACGACAGTCAAGAATATCCTGAATGCGATCGGCCTGAGGCCCAAGGCTTGCGCTCTGCAGCGGCTTGTGGCTCAACTTGAGCTGGGCCCGCGCGACACTAAACATGGAGAAGACCCCGCTCATAAATGCGGGAGGCCCGTCTCTGAGTGACTTCTTGTAACTGTGGTCACTGTGTGTGTGGCATGCTCCCACTAATCGGTCCATTTCATGTGCCAGCCTGTTAGGAGAGAGCTCTATCGCGCCAAGCTGGCCTGTAGTTCAGCCAGCGGAACCTGCATACAGCAGCCTCAACGAGTCTTCTCCGCATTTGGCGAACGTGTGGTGTTCTGACATGTTCCAGCCTTTTGTGACCTTGTCGAGTTGCAACTGCTACGCCCTCCAAGGACTGCCAGACGTGCTTGCGCTGCCCGTCAGCCTACAGCTGCGGATTTTGCAATGTCTTGCCGCTTGTCAGAGACAGGTTGCAACGAATTGTCGGTTATGTGTTGAGGAAAAAACATACCATTTGTCGAGCTTGGCCATGAGGTGTTATGCCACCTTGGGCCTGGTGGTTTTTGCGCTTCTTCTAGCGCTTTACCCTGTAGTGGCCGTCGTTGTTCTAGTGCTCCTGCTGCTTTTCGGTTGGCTGCTAGGCTACACGATTCTTGGGTGCAGCTAAGCAACCTTTGGGGGTGTGTGGTGGAAAATCATGAACATCCCATTCTGAAGGGCAGAAGCACTTCACCAGTCGGATCCAAGCTGCAGGTTGGTCTACCTGGCCTGTCTGAGACCGCCGCCGGAACTGGTTTGGAAGGGAGCGAAATTGATTCAACTATCACGGCTGACATTTTACCAAATGCCGAATCCTTCGCAATGGACAGTTTCAGATTTGAAGCCAAAAGCAAAGCTGGAGACAGGACTGCTGCAGTACGCCATCGCAGTGCGAGTGCCGTTTATTTATGAGGATGAGCTTTATGCAGGTGGCCTTTTTGAATCGCTTATACGTCTCGCTCCGTCATCGGAGTTCATCACAAGCACCATATTTTTCTCACCGGCACCAGTGGTTTCAGACATGACAAGTTTCAAGGAAGGTGAAAATCCTGTCCAATACGTTATGGATGTTTGTCGTGACATCTATCCCAAAGTCATACAAGAGTGGGTGGACAAAACCTCTGACCGTGCCTTGACGCACATATGCCTTCATGGCCTCGGGGCACATCGACTAGAGTCTGGGTTCATGTTAAGGAACTTCAGTAAAGTCACTATGTTGGGGAAACCAATTACTGTAAGTTAATCTAAGTTCCTCAAATCCCTTTATTTTCCCAGTTTCCAGTTCATTTCCAAATTCTTTTCCATTTGATTCTCCATTATCTTAAACCCTATATATACCCTATATAGCCGCTGTAACCCTCTATAACCCATATATACCCATTATAGTAATTTTATTTGAGTTCCTTAACAACAACCCAGGAGAACCCTAAACCCTAAACCCTCAAGCCCAGATAAATGCGAAGTGTATAGGGCAACGGGTAAAACGGAAACTCGCTCAAAACCCGGTCAATTTCGGTCAAGACTCCCGACCTGAACCCTATACAATTTGTATAAATCCTAAACCCTAGACTAACTTAAATATACTGAAATCCTTGAGAACAACCCAGGAGTTGGCGGACTCAAAGCATGCTGGCTGTGCTTATGTGGTTCGGACAAACCAAATTTCAGCTCTGCCTGTTACTGGATTGCTGTTAAGGGTTTAGGGTTTAGGGGTTTAGGTTTTAGGGTTTAGGGTTTATGAGTTTAGGGTTTAGGGTTTAAGGTTGGATTATGGTTTAGGGTTTAGGGTTTAAGGGTTTAGGGTTTAGGGTTGGATTATAGGGGTTATTTAGGGATTATATAGGGTTTAGAATACTGGAGAATCAAATGGAAAATGAAATGTAAACCCAGGTCAGAGATGGCTTTGAGCATTACGGCAATGATGTCTACTTTGACAAAGAGTTCAAAGTGGTGAAGATTGTTCGCCAGGAGCAGGTAGAACCATGGGAAGCCCCAAGGTCGACCACGTTTTTTCCAGATGGTTCCAGAACTTGGGAATATGCAAAATTCTGCTTCCGCAGCTCTTTGTTCTCATTTGTCACTCTTGTAGACCACCTGTACGGGTGCCACCTGCAGCTTGCGAATGTCGTGGTGCAAGCCATGCGCGAGCAGCTCTCAGTTGACCATCCCATCCGTCGCTTCCTGGTACCCTTCTCTTATGGAACTATAAACATCAATGACCTGGCAAGACAAACTCTCGTGACTCGAGATTCATTTGTTCCGCGGCTTGTCCCCTTGGACAACGAAGGACTCCAGCTTGCTTGGGCCTCTGCATACAAGCTGCTGCCACCTGAGTACCTGCCGGATACAAGCTTGGGACCCATTGAGACTATTGAGAGGCTATTCGATAGGGAGCAGGCTATCCAGCGCAAGTTTGATAGTGGTTTGTCAACGCCATATCTTCAGCAGGCCCTCAAGTATTGGAAGATCATGAGGAAATTTGTGAGCGACTACCTTGAGCACTATTATGGCACTGGCTCGCGTGGAGAGATGGCACTTGCCGCGGATGAGGAGCTCAGGCTATTCCTTCTGCAGTCGGTGACGCAGCTGCAGGCTTTCTCTGAGCCATTGTCCAATGGGCAGGTGCATGAGGTCTGGCCTTCCGTGCCCGATGCACGAAAGAAACCAATCTTCATCAACTTTTTGACTCGTTTCTGTGTGCCTGAGCTGCAAGTTCTGGGTGGGTGATACATACACAAGCCCATGTGCGCGCAAAATATGTGTGCATACATATGCAGGAAGAACATAGGCTTCATTAGCCACATGAGCTGTAGTCTCAACTCCTGGTATCCCACTGCAGGACCCTATACTCTCCTATATAATTCCGTCATAAACCCCCCCCCCTTTAAGGAGTTTAGACCCTAAAGCCTAAAGCGGCTAAACCCCATATAATTCCCTATATAACCCCCCTTGAGGAGCTTAGACTATAACCCCCCCCGCTAAGGAGCTTAGACCCTAAACCCTATATAATCCCCCAAACTACCTCGCCTTTAAGACTATAGCTCCCATGTGCTTGGCCAGGAGCTGGTCACAGTTGGCCATGAGCAGGCAGGGCAGGTGCAAGCCTACGCGCAGGACGCTTCCTTCTGTGCGTTGCTTGCCTCGATAATCCTCTCCCCCCAATATTAAGGTTTAGGGTTTAGGGTTACCTCAATACTTACCTTTGGTCCTTTGGTTAGCTGGGAATGAAGGGATGGAGAAGAAAAAAGGGAAACGACCAGAATGGGTTATATAGGGACTACTATAAGGATCCATTACTTTATTCCTAGCTTTCCAAAGGCCAGAAAACGGTAGACAGAGGAAATCTTACACCGCACAGGGCCTTTAAACTGTTGCAGTTCCTCATGATACAGGACTTTTGGGTGCTGAGTATGCTCCTGCCAGCGCTTTTGTTGTCTGCTAAATGCAGGCATGAGTTCTCTCATTGCCGAGGTTTTCTTGGTCCAAAAGTTTGCGGCAAGAAGGGCCGCTGGTGGCTCCAAAAGAGGTGGCCTTGGGTGAGGCTTTGTTGATGACCCTCACCAGTACCCCGATGCCGCGCTTGCTGGTACAAAGTCCTGAGGATGATTGGCCACTTTGATGCACCTGCTCATGCACGTGATGCAAACTATTGCGGTGTCATGTCCATGTCTCACTCTGCATCCAAGGTCCCATCTCTTTCCAGCTGCTTCCGAGGGTGATCGAGCAAAACTGGACACGCTTTTCGGCCCCTTCCATGCGCATTGAGGTTGTTGGGGTTGGCGCTTTTGCCCAATTGTAGTAATTGTCACCAAGCTAAGGTGCTTTTCAAGCTGAGCTGCGCAGCTTTTCCGCTGAGTGCGATGAGTGCCTCGGCAGCGGCTGCATCTTTCTCCTTCCTATTGTCAGTATAGCTGGCTGAACTATTATTGCAGTGGTTGACATTTGGCGACTTAAATGCCACCAGCGATTATGCTGTTGCTGTTTGGGTGGTTCCTCTGACGCTGTGTCCAGGTACAATGCTGCCACCGCTCAGCGCAGCTTTCCGAATGATTTTGGGCTTTGGGTTTTCAACCCTAAGTACTTGGAGACGAGCGTATCAATTTGAACAGATGCCAGCTTCAACAGAATGTTCTGGCGACCTTGGCCTCACAAGCCAGGCAGGTCTACAGCTTGTACAGGTCCAAAAACAGGGCTCAAGTCTCTGGGGACTCTTTTGAGGTCTTGTCCTGAAGTTGTGCCTTCCAGGATCCCAAATGGGCTGCGCAAGCTGCCATGCCGTTGACACCCCTTCGCATTGTGTAGAAGCCACGAGTTGGAGCAGCGTCAGCCGCGTCAGATGGATTACTGATGGATTCCATATGCGATGGCAAAACAACCCAGCAAAAAAAATGCAAACGACTAACACAAAACTCGCCAGATGATGCAGGATAATCAGTCGGTAAACCGACTGCGTCAGTCTAAACTCCAAAGACGGTCCTCGGCCGCATGGCATACGCGGCTGCAGATGCTGCAGATCCTGCATCCCTACTGCGTCGCGTCAGAGTCTTTACCCTACTTCATGATCTCAACTTAGCAGACGAACTAACGCACCTGGACGAAACTTGCGTGTTGGTCATGCGGCGTGAGGTTTCTCAGCCGACCTGCTACAGGTGTGGCTTGCTCAGAAAGACGTGGAAGAAGTGAGTAAGAAGTGCAATCTCTGCAAACGAGTTTGGGGCATGCCGAGGTGGGTATGCGTGGGAAGGCCATGCCAGAACGCTTGGCCCATACAACAAGCTCATGCCTCAGCTGAACTCAACTGGCTTGTTTTGGGATTTCAATCCTGGATGGTGATATAAGGTTCTGCTTGAGACGTTGGGCAGCGGGAATCATCGTCGTCTTCACGGATAGCGGCTGTAGACTGTAGAGCTGCCTGGACAGAGGAGCCCTTTGGCATGTGACTCTTTCCAGGATTCCGTCTCTGGTCGTCCTTTCCTACTCCTTGGGAAGGAGAAGCGTCGGGACGGAGGCCAGTGGAAGGTTTGCTGAAGTTGCCGAGGTATCCTGCTCGCGTGTTGCTTTTGCTAGCTGCGGGCAGGCTACAGCGTTTTCTGGGGCTTTGGCGAGCTGCACGAGCAGGAAGCGCACCATGTGGGTAATCCCATTTGGTACCCCTAATTATGAAGGTGTCGAAATCTAATGCATAACAAAGAGGATCCAACATTGGGATAATAGAAAATAACACGGAAACTACGATAGTATATAGGTTTACATGCATAGGGGCCATCTGGGGTTAGAAAAGGGTTATTACCCTTAACTTTCAGAACAACCCATCTGCTTGGCTGCTTGCAGTTGTCCCAAATTCATCGGCCCAGGATCCGCATCAGACAGCGGCCCGGGAAGCGTTTGAAGAGGCATGGGCTGGAGATGCACTCTTATTTAACAAGAAGCAGAATATAGTACGTATAGGGCTTTAGGGTTTAGGGGAATATAGGGGTTCTAATATATAGGGATATTATCAGCAGTGTAGAATCAAATGGAAAGGAACATGGAAAATGGAGCAAACAAACAAACAATCTAGCATCATTACATTATATACGGGTTACGGGGGTAATATTCTCATGATGACTACTATTTGTGTCACTGTTGCTCTTACTATTGTATATCGCGGGTAATATTCATTAATATAGGGACCTAAATAATTACCAATATTATGGTTCCATATTCCTTGTATAATTATAGTATATGGTACCTCAAATGGACCTCAAAATGATATTGGTAATTATTTGGGCCCCTGTAGTATATGGGGGAAGACGTTAAGGATGTGGCCATAGCGATGGGTAACCCGATGCTTCGCCCAGGCACTAGGTCTGTTGGGCAGTCAGCCTGACATCTACGCTTCGATCCAGGGGCAGGCTTGAGCCCCAGCTTTGCCAGGGTGAAAAGGGTTTAGGGGCTAATTATTGGTATGGTAATTTCCCCAGGGGACCCAATAAGGTACCCGTAGTCTAGGGAAACTCCGAATGAGAAGGCATGAATCTTCGATACTAAGGCCAGTGCCAGTGCTGAGGCTGGCGTGCCTTTGTACGTGTACCAACCCAAGAAACTGTTCGGCTGAAGCTTGGCATGCAGAGGCTCAACCTTGGTCTGCAGACAATCTCCGTGCTGGTTGATCAGTTGTGCCCTCAAACAAATCCGATGATGCATTTGTACGTCTCATGCTCGCTGAGCTGCTGCCATCGTAAGGTATCGGGAGAGGCTGGCTTGCGTTGTGTTTGCTTAGTCACAGTACTTGAGGGTTGCCAAAACCGTCTGCATTCTTCGCAGTAGCCTCGTTCATCGGGCACCTGCCTGCCCTAAAGTCACCATCTGAATGTGAGCAGCTGCCTTCTGCGGGTCGGCCGCCAGAACCTTTTCGGTCATTTGCCAGCTGCCCGACCGCTAGATGAAGTGTACTGACAAGCAGCTAAAAGCCGGAAGATGCCAAGATGACAACTTTCCAGATTGACCGCTTTGAAAGACTGCTCCCAAGCCTGCAAGAGGACTAGGTGTTTTGTTTTGATCCTGTCTTCCAGCTGCGATGTGCAGAGCGTTTGCAGGCGGCAGCTGTGGACTTCAGCTGCTCAAAGCCGCCGGGTTGTCCATTAGTTTCGAAGTATCTAGCACACGTGAGCTACAATCTAAACTCCTTAAAGGGGCGTTATATGGATTATATAGGGGGCTATTATAGGGCATACTATTGGGCATGCTAGGAGTTTTGATTGAACTTCTTGTGGACTTGCGCAAGCTACGTTCAATTGCTTTCTTGGCTTTTTTGGTCCCAGGCTTGAAACCGCTGGGACCCTGGCCGGGGATCTGCATTTAGGGGTTCTATAGGGGTTATGCTGAGGTTATATAGGGATAATGGAAAATAACATGGAAACTACTATAGTATAATGGGGTATGCATAGGGGGTGACGTGGGATAATGGAAAATCAAATGGAATCTACTAGTTAGGGTTTAGAGCTTAATATGTTTCCAGTTCAGATGTTTCAGGCTGGCTCAGCCAAAGATGCAGCCAGGAGGCGCCCGACTCCTTTGCCTGCAGTCAGAATCCCCTTTATTAAATCTCCCATCCCCTGATATGGATATTCCCAATATATCAGAGTATACCACCATGGGAGTATTCAATATTAGGGGGTTGGGGCGGTTAAATGTAAGGGGAAGGGGATTAGCTTTTGTGCAGGTGCTGGTAATCGAACGCGGCTGCACACCGGGTCTTCGCAGGAGATGTCATGGATGCGATCTTTGCCGTTCCAGCGTCGGATTTCCACGCTAGCAGCAGGCCCGATGGACACGACTGCAGATAGTAGTTTCCACAAATAGGGGAATCCCAACATAGACCCCAATATATTACAGTCCTTATCATACCCACCGTACGGGCGTTCGCGCGCACTTTGACATGGTTCCAGGGGTGTACAAAACACTGGCAGGATTGGGATTTCAGGCACTTGGGACATGTGCTGCGTGCAGAATAACCCACGGCCCACAGGGTTTCGTGGCCATGCACACTTTCACCAACAAAAACATTTTGGGCCAGACCCCAAGATTCAGAAACAAAGCTTTAGCTGCCTATCCATGCTGGGCAACATGACAACGTTCATGTTACGAGAGCACTCATTTTCGAGAGCATCCATGCTGGGCAACATGATAACGTTCATGTTACGAGAGCATTCAATTTCCAGAGCATCCATGCTGGGCAACATGACAACGTTCATGTTACGAGAGCATACAATTTTCCAGAGCGT